AGAGAGAGAGAGAGAGAGAGAGAGAGAGAGAGAGAGAGAGAGAGAGCGCTGAAACAGTTCTCAATGGGAGGGAAGACACCAATGAAACAAGGTCTGCTAAACACAGTAGAGTTGGCCTACGTATGAACTCACAAGATACTAAGGCAGCATGCACAGAGCCAGCACAGGTCTAAGTCAGATGGGGACCCAGCACTGAGAGGTGAACTGACCATGAGTCCCCACACCTAACACAGAAGCTATCTCCAACTGGCAACTTCTTACAAAAAACATTAGTTCTCTCTCATAGAATATGTTAATGCACAGTTAAAGGAGACCTATACTCAGCTTTAGATGGTCAACACAAAATGAATTCAATGGCTTTTTTGGAGATGTTTTGTCTCATAATGTTTTCTTTGGGCACTTAAAAAAACATACTTTTTCTTGCTTATCTGTTAGGGTTTCTAATTTTGTGTTTTTATGGGTTCTTTGTCTCTGTCTCTCTGTCTCTGTCTTTCTGTCTCTCTCTTGTGTATGTATGTATGTTTCTTAGTGCTTTGATGTTTTTTGTCTATTTTCTTCATTTTATTTTGTTTCTTTTCATTTGTTTGTTTTTCCTGTTTTCTGAAGAGAGAGAAAGAAGGCATGGAGTTGGATGGTGGGTGGATGTAGCCCCTCTGGTTCTTACTCTCTTTCCACCGGTTCTTCTTCATCTATCCCTGAGCCCTGGGGTGGGGAGAGGTTTGAGATCTGGGAGGAGATGAGGTAGGGGAAACCATGATCAGATCATACTGTATTTAAAATATGTATATTAGGGCTGGAGAGATGGCTCAGTGGTTAGGAGCACTGACTGCTCTTCCAGAGGTCCTGAGTTCAAATCCCAGAACCCATATGGTGGCTCACAACCATCTGTAATGGGATCTGATGCCCTCTTCTGGTGTGTCTGAAGACGGCTACAGTGTACTCACATATATAAAAATAAATAAATCTTTAAAAAGTATTTTTTAAAAAGTTGTATTCTAGTCAGCTTAATTCATTGGGGTAAACGACTTTGGCTTATGTTTCCTGCAAGTTGCTTCACGTTATTTATCTATTTTTCTTATTCTCTCCATAGAGACTTCAAATGCCTCAGAGTCTGTAGGAAGAAGTACTCTGTCAGCCACTGACCTGTTGTCAGGGCAGTCGGCTTCAAAACAAAGGGATCTATGTTGTGCCATTAGCTGTTTTGTGAGCTAGCACGAAGGCAGGTCTGTCCCACGGATGATAACAACAACCTGAGGAAATAATTCTTTTTTTTTATTTTTTTATCATGCGGGGGTGATTCACATAACTTTAAAATTTAAATGCCTCTAAACTACAGGGGAAGGGAACCCTCTTCAGACTTTCAAATGTGTACCCAGTATGTAAACAGTGAGAGCCACGTACAAATCCTTCCTTCCCTGTGATGATTTGGATTAATATTTCAATCCTAGAGACCTAAATGCCGTTTGGTTGAATGCTGTTCTTTAAAACTCTGTTTCTAAAAAAACCACTGTTTTATAAAAACACCTTTTTCATCGTTTCTGTTTCTAAAATAAGATAGAAGTTAAAAATTTCATATCCTTTATTATAACATAAAAATTATCCTGAATGACACTGCACCACGTATGAAACGCACCATTTCAACATTATTTGTTTTCTTTATGTAATTCCCACAGGAAGAAAAAGAGAACATTAAATTGCAAAAGATTATTGATGCTCCTCTCCTCCCCCAAACAGAGATGATTGGCTACTGTAATGATAATATAAAGCACCTTTCAGAATGTATAAATATCACGGAGTCTCTAAAGTAAATTGAAAATTTAAAGCAACATGGACACTTTTGGTGGTGGACAGTCTGTGCTTTATTTTATAAAAGGGAAGTCTGATTCTTTTTTCTGCCCTGTACTTTGCCCTAGAAAGACAGGGAATGTTCTGAAAATCCCATGGGCTGGGTTCTGAGAGTGGAAGGGGTGTTGGACTGTGACTCTTTGCTTGAGTCCCTCTTGGAGATGTCTTCAGGGAGCCACAGCTAGGGATGGGCCTACAAACCACACACAGTGTTTTTAGATCTAAGCAAGGAACATGGTTGGCTGGTTCGCCCATGAGCTTCATGACTTCTAATTTAGTCAGTTTTTTTTTTCCTTTCCCTTTTTGGTTGTTTTTCTTCTCATTAACTTTGGTGAAAACATTTTTTTATTTGAAAATCACTTTGCTTCTTTGCCTTCATTTCCCTTACTAAGGGCCAAAATAAATAAATAAATAAATAAATAAATAAATAAATAAATAAAATAAAAAAGGAAAAGAAAATGGCATTCTTCCGTGAGGGTCTTTTACAGTAAGGCTCTCTCTTATAGGTAGTCCTGCCTGGCCTGGAACTTTGGATGTAGACCCATTATATTCTGGTATTTTCTGTGAGACATGGAAGCTGTACATCACAGGGGCCACCCAAGCCATCGAAGGGGAATGGAGCTGATACGACAATTCTTGAGATTTAATAGGAAGACTAAGAAAAGTTCTGCCGGTTCACAGAAATTAATTTTCCAACTTTAAAAGCCTATGAGACCTAGAGGGCACAGAATCTTATGAATAAATGCCACTTTGCTCTAGAAATTTGAAGAGTGCTGACATCAGGGTTAAGTGCTTTTCCCATCCTGAAGATCTAGGTGATATGTAACGATCTCCAATATTATGGTACCATTTCCTTCTTTCTGATTTCTTCTCTACTGAAGGTACTGGTTCTTTACTGCTTCTGTTTTTATTTGTGTTCTTCCAGGCTATAGTTTACCTGAATAATTACCATCAAAGTATCATTTAAGTGTGAAATTTCTGCAGGTGCTTCTTGGAGTATCTTTGATCACATTTGCTGCAGGCAGCTCAGTCATCTTACTTATAAGGATGCCAACACTGTCTCAACTGATTTTCTTACCAGGAAAGAATAGCATGCCTTTCCTAGTGTGTCTTAATACATCACAATACTTAAAAACTGTGACAGCTAGTCCATCACTTCCCTCGGCTCAATTAGCTAAGTACATGAACTTGGTCAAAACCAGTAGCCAAAAGGTTCCCAAAACCAGCCAAAAAAAAGTCTAAGGAACATATATTCATGAACTGTGAGTTTCACTTTCAGTATTAGGTAAGGTGGACAATACTCAGATTTCGGGGCTCATGGGCTAAGAATTGTTGAAGCCTAAAATCTCTGGACTGAATACATTAAATCTTTCAGAAGAACTAGGAGATCTTTGTTTGTTTGTTTTTCGAGACAGGGTTTCTCTGTGTAGCCCTGGCTGTCCTGGAACTCACTCTGTAGACCAGGCTGGCCTCGAACTCAGAAATCCGCCTGCCTCTGCCTCCTAAGTGCTGGGATTAAAGGCACTTGCCACCACTGCCCCTAGGAGATCTTTAATGAGCATAAAGATCCATGGTTGACTCCATAAGAGAAGTACCATTCAAGCTGTAAAACTCAGCATCCTGACAGCATCACCTTCCAAAAAATAAAACGAAGCCCCAACCCTTCACAATCCATAGTTATGGGAAAGTCTCTAAACATACTAACCTTGCTTTTTGGGTTGTATAGTTCTGCTTCAGGATAACTGTTCTTGTTAACTGACTATGTCAACCTGTAACATGGTTTTTGTGCTTAAAAGCTCACTCTGAGGAGGCTCATGTCTACATTGGGATCCTGAACACCCAGTGTAGTTGCTGGTTGGCTAATAAAGACTTTTTCATTGTCTTAAAAAAAATCCATGGTTTTTAAACCACAGCCTGATAACCCTCAGTTTCAAGCCCTCTGTGAAACCTGCCTCAGTGACCTCAATCCACAGATAGATTCCACACAGTACTTCCCGCGAAGCCTCATCTTCTGCCCTTCGGTGTGTGGTCTGATTATTGACTCTTAGGGTCCCGAATCATATTGCCTGCACAGAACTGGGACCTCACAGATATCTATTATCAGTCAGTCAGTCAAGTAACCAGCCGGTCAAGATGATTGATCATGTTTCTAAATATAGCTGACTATCTTTACTTCCTGGTTGGCAGAGTGATTCTGAGATGGTTAGCTATTATGTAGCCAGATTAGAAATCAAAGAATATTCCTTTTGAATTACAGACTAGATGGAAATTCAGAAATTTGGAGTCCTTCCAGTAAGCTGTTGTACAGTATGCTATGGACCAATAAATAGGAAATACCTTTTATTTATTTTTTTACTAAGCAACTCATAAATGCTATTCATGGAGCTATTTAATTATTATAATTAGACAAAAGACACCATGTCTCTCCTTTCCCAGGTGGTAAAGTGGACCTAAGAGATGTTTAGATAATGCCAGTGCTGGTCAAAAACAGGCCAGGCAGAAGACAGGGCTTCCTAGGGGTGAGGTTATGGGTTATTCTGGTTCTGAACACACTGGATTTCAGAGTACTGAGAGGACAGTAAGTGGAAGTGGCATTTAAATATGCCCTAGTTGGGAGTCATCACAGTGTTACTGAACCTAAGCAGAATCCTCATCACCTGGGAATTTCCTATACACACATTCTTGATGTTCTCCTCCTACCCTCCGTCTGTCTGAAGAACATCTGTGATGAGGTCCAGAAATGTGTGAGGAACTCCAGCGAATTCTGACATCACCAGAGACAACGACTGACCAACTGACCAACTGAACGTAATGGTCTTCAAACAGTATCATCCGAGAGCACAGAGCAAGGCAGTCTCCTGAGCTCAGGCTCCAGAGTTTCTGACTTACTAGCAGGGGAGGGCACATGACTTTGCATTTCCCAAAGCACCAAAAATAAATCTCGATGGGGAGTAAATAGTGAGATCTTTCAAATGCCACAGCTGCCCAGGGAGCCCATACTTCGAACCTTACTGAGAACCTGTCAGTCAAAACCAAAACAACAACAACAACAACAACAACAACAACAAAATCTGGC